CTATGGTCCACATTTGGCCGACGTTAAACTTTCGACAGAAAATAGGAAATTCTACGTGGGGAACATAAAGAATACGTGGCAAAAGACAGAAAAGCAAAGTGAAGAAGTTGACCACAACTAATTTCGAAAAAAAGAAAAACAAAAGCTGTATACAACGGGAAAGAAACGTATGTGTTGTTATGTAGAAAATTGGTAAGAAAGGGAGGAGGAGGGCAGGACAAAAGTAAGTGCAACGGGACACAGTGTGCGCAGACACAATGAACGGAGAGGTAACGCGTCGGTAGGTTAAGGAGATAGTGCGCAGATCGAGGAGACGCAGCTCGCGGAACTGTGCAAAACGGTCGGCCAAGATAGAGTGAGAGAGCGAAAGGCCGCGCGCGACATGGACTGACTAGCTGTCAGTGGTGAGCAATCCGTTACGTTTTGACCCGCGAACCCCTTTCTATGCCAGTGTGGCTATTGAAATTGTTTTGTTTGCACAATATCCTCATGCAAATTGAAGGGCAAACTCGATTCGTGGAGAAAGAAAAGAGAACGAAAGCAGATACATGTCTTGTGTGTGCTTCTTGAAGAAGTCATATTTCAAGAACATAAGGTTCTTGTATTTGAGAAAATCCAGATTAGCGGGAGCAAGCAAATGGGAGTAGCAACTTGAAACTCAGAACTGAAAACTTGGAAAAGCAACTCATCTTCTTCAAAACCTCTCAGAAGGTGCCAATTGCCTTGTCCGGCTCTTGAAACTTTTCGACCTTGAGTTTTCTAGGAATTTGAAGAAAACTAGAGCAGAAATGGACACCAAAGATGGCATAGATATCCGACAATCGGCTGGAAACCAAAAAATGGCCCAGACATCCAGAATGACCTGGAACCTCAGAAATAGCCGAGGCAAATGGCCTAAAGTTTAAAATTATCTGAAAGTCTAAAGTTTAAAATTATCTAAAAGTCTGTAGACGGGAAACCAATAAATAGCCTGTAATTCCGAAATTGACCTGAAAACTAATAAGGGAACCATGTTTAGCCTTCATCTCAGAATTTCTTCTAAATTTGCTCATTTATAGTTTTGAATACGGGCTTTCTTGTGATGTATTTGGTTATTTGCACAAATTTCTAGAAGTCGAGGAAATTCCATCTGAAAATATGTTGTTATTTTGGTCTCCTACTTCCCTTCCACTTTCCCCTCTTTTCTCTATACATTTTCCACTGTGGAAGAAACAAGCAGTGGCCGAGTGGATAGATGGGATGAATAGTAATCACAAGTTTGGGGTTCGATTCCGTCCTTGTACATTTTCTTTTTTCTTTTTTTTTTCTTTGACGTTGGAGGAAATTGCATTTTTCGAAAATCAAAACTATGTTTGCTCTATTTTTTGAGTAGGAAAAAAGCTTGAATTATTTTGAGAGAAAAATTCATTTTGGACTTGTTTCGAAAAATATCCAATAAATATCTTCTGAAAACTTCTTGAAACACTACTGGAAAGCCTTATATAGTCAAAATATCAGTCGAAACCCCCCGTTTTGATCATATTTAGTGCGGAACAGTGATAAATCTTGCAGGAAGTATTTAAATCTATGTTTTCACAAGATTTCAGTGCTACTGGGTGATTTTCGAAGGAATACGTTTTATAGAAGTTTCGGAAGAAGCCACTCATTTGAGATTTCAAAACGGATATAGGCTATAGAATTATGTGAAAAGACTCATTTTATCATTTCTATGAGCTTAGAATGCATTTTAGCACATTAAAAATTGTTTCGAAAAATTGTAAAATTTCGCAAACCCATGGCAAATTTTTTTTTTTTGAAAAATGAAAAGACTCTGTTAGATTGTAGAGAAATTTTTAAAATTACGATTCACACTCAAGAAATTCCGAAAAACTCTCATTAACCCTTTCAAAAACTCACTCCAAAAGTGAGAAATTAGTACTGAAATCACCTAAACAGCCCATAACTCGACTTCTAGAAATTTGTGCAGAAAACCAAATACATCACAAGAAAACCCGTATTCGAAACTAAGAATGAGCAAATTTAGAAAAAAATTCTGAGAGGAAGGCTAAACATGGTTCCCTTGTAAGATATGGCCTAGAATTTGAAAATGATCTAGAAACCTAAACTATGGAAAAGCAACAAAACAAGGGGCTAGAAATCTGAAAATGGCCTAGAAACCCAGAAATTGCCTAGACACCCGAAAATGGTCTAGAAACTCAAAGATAACCTAAAATTTCCAGAATGGCTTAGAAACCCAGAGATGGCATATAATTTTTAAGTAACCTAAAAACCTCAACTGTGGACGAGAAACACAATAAAGGCTTAAAAATCCGATAATGGTCTAGGAAACCAGATGTGACCTAGGAATCCTGAAATGGCCTAGAAATCCAAAAAAAAAGAGCTGTAAACCCATAGATGCCCTACAAACCCGGAGAACAATCTAGAAAATTATATTTGAATTACATACTGAGAAATTATGGTACCAATTTTGGGAAAGTAGCTCGAACGCCAAAAATCTCGAGATTGATTCTTCTTTTATACCATCTACACCCCCACACAGATGGCCGACACTTCCAGATCATTTTCAGTTTTGTACACTAAAATTTACATTAAATGGGATTTAATTATTTGGCTCCTTTCTGAAAAGAGTGGCCAATCAGCTCTCTCCAAAATCGTTTTTTGTTACAAAAACTCACGTTGACTACAGTATCCAGATTTTGAATTTTCAACTATAGTATCCACATTGTGGACTTTTAGAAAACTTTCTCAAAACCTCATGCTGCTCAGCAACTTTGAAACATTTTCGAAATTCCGAAAAACAAATGTCAAAAGTTCTGGCACAGCATGGTGCAAACTGAAAACAAAGAGAATTTTCAAACTTTTTGTTTGAGCCGCCCTTTCAAAACGTCTTTTGTGTTTTTTGTTTTTTGTGGAGGAGCGAAGATGACGAGGCCAAAGGGGATGGACAATGTCGGTATCCGATAGAAACTTCAGGAAAGATAGTATAGCAATATCATTTTTTTTCAGAGGAACAACTTAATTTGAATCAAAAAATATTTATCATTTCTCATTAATTAGATTTCAAAAAAAATTATCTTTAACTATCCCAATTTGATCCATCAACTATCCCAATTTGATCGAACTGAATCTCATTTTATGCTCCGTTTCCCGCTTCCTGAAATGAGATGATCTTTTTTCATGCCGTTCAATCGATAAGAAATAAAATACTAACCTCTTGGTGGATGGGTGCTTAAATTATTTCCGAGACGACCCGGTGTTCTTTCTTCTGAAAAATAAAAAAGATGGCTTAAATTGAGCTTTGAAAAATTGAAATGAAAAATTACAAACCTGTTGGGGGATTAGAACAGTATGTCACTGGTTTGGAATGAATGTGATATCCACCGGCACCTGAAAAATCAGCTTTTGAGATCATAAAATGCTGAACGATTTTGTCTAAGTTGCCATTTAAAATTTGATTTTTGAGCATATAGCAGGTAATTTCGTGGTTTAAAATTCTGAAAAATTGGAATAAAAAACTAACCGTTCATCGAACGGGAGGAAGCGGTGACACGTTGAAAATGGGCGGGCGGGGTGTCGGGGCGGGCGGTTGTGGTGTAGGCGGTGGTTTCTTTTTTGCCTGAAAACAACTGTATAGTTGCAAACATTGTCGTGGGAAAATAAACTTACCCCCGCCTTCCATTGGGGCAGTCACCGCCCGCCCTAGGTGAGCCGGGT